TTAATCATAAACAAAAATGACATGATTATGTTCATAATTAATTAATCATAGCTAAGGGTCAGAAACTTATGATGGATTGTTTATATATATATATATATATATATATATATATATATATATATATATATATATATATATATGAAAATAAACATAAAGAAACATAAAACAGTAAAATCGACCTTGCTAACCGAAACGCTCCTCTGTGGCTCAATCGGTAAAAGCACGTCAGGCTATATGATGGTTCCGTATAGGATACAGGTTCGATCCCAGTCAGAGGACGAATATTTTCTATGAAAATTTCTCGGACATTCAGGCCGGTAAATGTCGTTAATACTGTTTATTATAAAAGAGCATTTACTTAAATATTTGTATCTATAAAAAGAACGTATAAACAAAAAATGGCTTAAAAATAATTGTCGGACTTTGTCCATTTCATAATGTGCGACATCATATATATATATATATATTGTTCCAGGATCATTTTCCAACTTATTCAAGATGATCTTCGCCTTCTCTAACCTTCTAACTTTCTGTTCTGGAGTAACAAGGCGACTCACACGTTTCACATACGATTTCATTTTCAAGTCTTTTTTTCACTGCTCTTTGGATTCTTATTGGTGAAACTCCTTTCTCACGTGCCAAACGTTTGATGAATTGAGTTGCATCTTTTCTAATTGATTTCTTCAACTCAAAGTTAATATGATTATCCCTCTGCTTGTTGTTACCTCCTGATCCAGTTTTCCCCTCTACCGCTCCCTCTTTTCAAACTTATTCACCGTTCTCTTGATGGTTCTTGAATGAACTTTGAAGATGAAAGCCATAGTATGAATGTTCGTACAATTATTGAAGGCCTGAATGATCTTTTTCCTTTCACCATTGCTCATTTGGGAAAACAGTGGGTCTTACACAAAACAATTTTAACCTGTTCTCTTTCTAGCGGAATAACTGAAAAGATTTTTTCAATGATTCTTACGACAAATGGGATCAAGATGGATAAACGTCTTATCTGAAAACTTGGGAAAAAATAAACTCAGTTAGTTTCGTAGTTTTTTAAATGTTACATATTTTGTGGGATGGACAATTATCTTGTAACCCGATTTGAACAATTTTGCTGTTACACCCGGTATATTGAATTACGTAGCTTTCCTCTCTCTTTTCTATCTAGGGCTTATAACATGAAGTGGAAAGATTTTATTGAATCCATTGCAAGGTCTACTGCTAAGAAAGTTAGTTCTCTATGTCGTGCTCGACAATATTTCTCCCTTGATCTATCTTATACATATCTATAAGTCTACCATTATTAGAGGCTTTTGAATATTGCTGCCACTTATGGTCCGGAGTTCCTGTTGCGTAGAAATTCTTGATAAAATCAAAAGAATCAACAATATTATTGGTCCTGACCTGGCGTCTCAGATTCTGTCACTTTCCTACCGCCGCACTGTAGTTACCTTGTGCCTTTTCATCAAAGACTTTCATTCGGATGAACCCTTTGCTATGGTACCTAGACTTTATGAATTTAAGCGCAGTACGAGATTGGCGGCAAAGTCTCATCAATTCGCAGATGAATTGGCTAGATGCAACCGTAAGTTCTATGCTAACAGTTTCTTTTCTCGCACTTCTCGCTTGTAGAACTCTCTTCCTGCTTCATCGCTTCCCAGCCAACTTTGATCTTCAAAAATGTAAATGCAATGTCAATCGCTATCTACTGTCTTCTTAATTGCTCTTCTATTGTTCTCGCTCCTTAATAATGTTTATCTTTTTTCTTATTCTTTCACACTCAGTTATCCCTTGTGTCTTAGTGGCTTTACTGCCTTGTCTGGGATGATATGATTAAAAAATATATGTTTTTTCATGACAGCTGTAGATTATATTGCAATAGATTCTTTTCTCGCACTTCTCGCCCGCGGAACACTCTCCGATTTCTTGCTTCCCTTCTACGTACAATCTCCAAAAAAAAAATAAATGCAACGTCAATCGCCATCTTCTGTCATCATTAATCAAGTTGTTTTCCTGTCCTTTCTTCCCAGTAAATTCTTCACATTCTTTTTCACTTCTCATTTTACATCTTATTAGGATTATCGCCTTCCTTGGGGGTGAAAAGATTACACACTCACGCGCGCACACACACGCGCGCTCACACACGGACACACACACACACAGATATATATATATATATATATATATATATGGGCCGTCGATAACTGTGCTAGCACGAAGTTACAAGTCATCGTGACCGAGAGTTTGAGTGTGCTGGCCTTGTTCAGATTGTTGATCACGCTAGATTACACGCTCTCTTCCAGAAAATGTAACTAAGGTCTGCTCAGCCTAGTTGAAATATAAACCATAAGTTGGGTCTGTGGGTATTGAACAAAGACAAATGTGCCTGAGAGAGCGTCTGCAATAAGGATTGGCACTAGATAGATGGGTATCTTCGAATACGAGTGGCCAGATATACATATACATATATTGACTGATCGCAACAACCCTAAGAAAGATGAAATTTAAATTTCTATTATTGCCTTATTCCAAAATATTAACATATTAGCAAATAGCTATTAATGTCAACATCTGATCATAAATAGTTATTAATTTAAAAAATTAGTAATTAATGTATAATATTATCCATAACTACATGTACAAGAATGTCATTTTTGATAAAAGTTAAAAAAATAATCATAAATATGTAAAAGATATATATATAGTCAAAAATTCCTAGCTATTTGTGCTATGTTATAATGCTTATTACCTAAGCAATAATACTGAATAAATTTTTTTAAACATTAAAGTATATTTAATCACATCTCCCTAGCTGTCACGATCTGTGAACAAATTTTATATACAGATAAGATACGAAGAAGCGTAAAAATGTTCCTACTCTAATCCATAGCTATGAGGGGGTCAGAAATTTCCCCGTTTATTATTGGATCGAAGTGATTAATATACACTACTGAATTAAGTGCCTTTACAAAGAATAACGCAACTTATGCATTTAGATAGATAGATAGGTAGATAGATAGATAAATAGATAGATAGATAGATAGATATTAGAAGAGAGATGGGGGAGATTTTTTGGTTTCTATATTGTTTTGTTTACATCGGTCGCGTAGACGTCACGCGTTTAGCTTATGGCGCTAGTGTTTATGTTTGTTTCTTGAAATGTTAATAAATGACATACGATTAAAAAAAATGGAATATTTTATTTTGATAGTATGATAAAAAAAAGAGGCTGAAGTGAATTCATAATACAAGGTTAAATCATCCACAAACATCTGAACGTCAACACAAGTATTTTTCTATGAATATTAGCGATATAAGGAAATCTGTTTGGTGGGTATTGCGAAACATCTTAAATTCGTGATGACTTTCCTACTTGCTCTCTATTTTATCATTTGAACGGATTTAAACCATATTTTTTTTAACTCATAGATAGATAGATAGATAGATAGATAGATAGATAGATAGATATTGTAACAAGAATATTGAAAATTCACGATATTTATGGAAGTGTTTCGTAATGCTTCATTTTTCAAAACTTCAATTTATTATTATTTTAGATAGATATATAGATATGAACAGATTTAGATAGATAGATAGATAGATAGATAGATAGATAGATAGATAGATAGATAGATAGATATGAACAAGGAGAGATGAAACCATAGATAGATACATACATAAATATGAACAATGTAAATGGTCCATAGATAAATAAAATAAAATAATATATATATATATATATATATATATATATATATATATATATATATATATATCCAAGTATATGATTGGTGTATACGGAATAAATTCCAATAACCAACAATTACTATTCTTAAAAGAGTGCTCAATACAGAGTAAAGCGAATATAATGATTTATTTAAAAATTATAACATAAATATGTTATAATGTAGTGATTTTATAGCATATTTATGTTATAATTTTTAAATAAATAATTATATATATATATATATTTAATAAAAACAGACCACTTTAAGGTACTATTACAATAATTTATTTCACCAAAATCCCTTTTAAAGGATTTCGGATCATCAGGTAACACTTCCAACAATGAAAAAAATCCGAAATCCTTTAAAAGGGATTTTGGTGAAATAAATTATTGTAATGGTACCTTAAAGTGGTCTGTTTTTTATTAAATATTAGCTCTGTTCTTCACATTGAGCTCTCAAGATTTCATCCTCCTTGGATTTACCAATTCGGTTTACCAAGTTCTTCATAACTTATATATATATATATATATATATATATATATATATATATTGAACAATAAAAATATTACAAAATAAAAATCTTCAGACACACTGGGTTGTATATTAATATTCTTTCGTTTTTATTATTATTTCATTTAGATTCCTCGACTAGTTTCGGCCAACATAGCCATCATCAGGAGAAAAACATTTTCCTGCTTGCTGGTAGCAGTGAACTACGGAAATGAATGCCTTGATGGCGAAAATGAAGTAGTTTTCATTTGTTTTTTTATTTTTGGTCAGACCTTGATGAGGAATTTTTCTTGCCTTGATTATTATAGATATCATTATAAACCCAACGTTTCAACCACATACACACAGGCCATCGTCAGATGCCCATTGTTTTGCTGACATGGGATATCTGTTGATATTTGAACTTTTTTATCTTGACTATTATATATGCCATTATAGACACGACGTTTAGTTGCTACACCTGTTTGTTTTTTTTTTTCTATTTTCTTAAACCATGAATTTAATAACGACCAGCCTAGATAACTTTAACTGTTTAAGAAAATAAATAAGAAAGAGGAAAGGTAACTGAAAAGCGTTTACCCACTAAAAATAACGTTTATAGTAATAAAAATAACATTGTTGTTTGCGTTTCGAGTACAAAGTAGAAGCTAGCAAATAGAAACTCATAGAAGGCCCAACGTTAACTGTGAATTCCTTAAATATGTAATTCAAACTTTGCTCTGTCAATGGGGTCCCCGTGTCCGAATTGATAAAAGCACGTTTCGGCTATAGAAATGGTTTCCCCAATAGATAGATAGATAATGAACAGACTGGGATAGATAGATAGATAGATAGATAGATAGATAGATAGATAGATAGATAGATAGATAGATAGATAGATAGATAGATAGATAGATAGATACGAAGAGACAGGGACAGATAGATAATGAACAGACTGGGATAGATAGATAGATAGATAGATAGATAGATAGATAGATAGATAGATAGATACGAACAGACTGGGATAGATAGATAGATACGAACAGACTGGGATAGATAGATAGATAGATAGATAGATAGATAGATAGATAGATAGATACGAAGAGACTGGGATAGATAGATAATGAACAGACTGGGATAGATAGATAGATAGATAGATAGATAGATAGATAGATAGATAGATAGATAGATAGATACGAACAGACTGGGATAGATAGATACGAAGAGACTGGGATAGATAAATAGATAGATAGATAGATAGATAGATAGATAGATAGATAGATAGATAGATAGATACGAACAGACTGGGATAGATAGATAGATAGATAGATAGATAGATAGATAGATAGATAGATAGATAGATAGATGGGATAGATAGATGCAGAAGAGACTGGGATAGATAGATAGATAGATAGATAGATAGATAGATAGATAGATAGATAGATAGATGATACGAACAGACTGGGATAGATAGATAATGAACAGACTGAGATAGATAGATAGATAGATAGATAGATAGATAGATAGATAGATGAATAGATACGAACAGACTGGGATAGATAGATAGATAGATAGATAGATAGATAGATAGATAGATAGATAGATAGATAGTGTATCAAGAATATTAAAATTTACGATACTTACGAAAGATCGTCTCAGAGTTTCGTAATGCTTCGGTTTTCAGACACCAGATCATAATGATTGCAATAATTATTACGGAATATATATATATATATATATATATATATATATATATATGTGTATATATATATATGTGTGTGTGTGTGTGTGTGTGTGTGTGTGTGTGTGTGTGTGTTTAATTTTATAAAATTACATTTATAAATGATAACATTATTTATCATTTTAGATATATAGATATGAAAAGATTGAGAGATCGGTTTGAATAGACTGAGATAGATAGATAGTCGGATGTGAATATATTCATATATAAATTTTCTTTGTGCTCATTTAAAGTAGACAAGTGTGTCTACACGAACATGCAGGCGAATATATAAACATTCAGATGTCTGTGTTTGCGTCTGGGTTAGTACTTCTGGTCTTTGCTTCTTCATTTGTTTAAATCTGCGCATTGAACTGCAGAGTCGAATTAACCCGTTGCTGTCTCACAGATGAGATAACTACATATTTCACACTGTTGCCCGAGATCTGTTCAATTCCATTTAAAAGCCAAAATATGTCAGCGGGCCCGTCCCATCCATTGGCATTATTCAACATTTGTTTTACTTAACTAATGTAAGTAAATATCAAACGTATTGTTATAAAGAATATTCCACTTGTTCCGTAGTCCTGCCTCATATATTATCAGATTATCGTATCTCAGTGGTTGATATGTTTATTTGCTCGGCCCAAAAGCCACTCGAGGTAGATCTTTACAAAGTAAGAGGCACAGTTTATGCGAATATATTGGGTGGGGGAGATAACGGTTAACCCTACACTTGAACAGGTTAAGCTTGTAGTAATCGGGGATGCATCTTATTGGAAGTCGGTTCTATAAAGAAGCGTTTCGTGAGAAGAAACTGCTTACATCTCACCAATAAAAGAGGAAAGGAATGAAGGTGGTTCACCACAATGTAAAGTGGCATGGCGGGCTCTAGCGGTGAAGGTTAGACCTGGTGAAACTAAGGAATGTAATTCGTTTGAACACTTTCCATGGAAATAGCGATAGAGTAGCGACGTTTCGTCTATGAAGAAGGGGTTTAATAACTCATCACTCACAAGGACGCGGCGATACTTTGGAGCACTATCGAGACTGAGAAACAGAAGACTGGGCTACTCTGGCCTATATATGGCAGAAGTTAGATTTATGCTTTTTAAATAGGGGATTTTTTATTAATTATCCTTGAAGAAAATGCATAAACAATTGCTTGTTACAGATATATTTACAAGCACTTGTATATGGCGGTCTTTGAAAAAAAGAAATAATTTGAAATAAATATAACTGAATGTGTATATTCCAGTTTTTATATCAGTCAGTTTAGTGCCACGCGTGATACACGCTTAGACGATCATGTATCTTTCGATACATGACTGATGAGGCAGATATTTTTTCCCGCAGTAGGTTGCCATTTCTTTCTGCGGTAGACCAGTTGCCATCCAAGGCTATAGAACCCGGTCTGTCCAGCTACTTACCCATAGCTGGGGGGGGGGGAAGAAGAGGATTCATACCTTTCCCAAGGGTATTAGCACGTAAGTGAATGTAATGGATTTGACTGGAATTCGAACTCGGCTCTCCGATTCCTCAATCCGATCCTCTATCCACCGTACCCCTTGGTTTTTATATACGACGTTAAAAACACTTTGAACCAAAGATGTATTTATAATCAGCCTGTCAAAGGATTAGGATTTAATTATTAAACTCCCTTTTTTGACAACACTTTCTGTATAGGCATGTGTGTGTTTTACTATGCATGTTTGTTATGCGTTTATATGAAGATGTGTATTTACGTTCGAATGTGTGCGCATGTGTAGGAGAGAAACGAAAAATGTGTAAGTAAACGTATATGAAAATATGTATAAAAATCATGGCCGACGCTAGGGTCTCGAAACTTTGATATAGGGGCCTCCCTCTCTACTACGTCGATTAAAAAAAAAAATTCCCAACCTGGGGGCCACAAACCCTCCAAGGAAAATTGGAGAAGGGGAAGGGCAGCGTTTTTTTTTTTTTAAATTAACAAAAATCAGGGAATTATCTAATTTAAATGAAAATTTCAGAACAAATTCATTAATTATTTTTGCTTTTATAATGAATAGGTTTTTTGTTTAAAAATAACTGATAAAATTTTATTCTTTTTGTAATAACTACCAATATTTTTATGACTAAATTTTACTCGAAAAAAATGTTTAAGTCGCAAATTTTTACATTTCCATAAAGATTAGTCGCTGACGCACCTCCGCTGAAAAAAGATTTTACAAAATTTCCAACACAACATAAACAGGACTGCCTTAAAAAGTTGTTTTAAAAACAGTATTTCAGTTTTCGGGAAAATTTTTCATTTGTTGAAATCTTTAAACATTTTTATTTTTTAAGCGATCATTTTCTTGGTTTTATCTTTCTAGAAATATAAAGAATGGGGAATAGAAATTTTATTTTATTTACTAACCGTAGACTTCTTGTTATTATCACTATTAATAAAAAAAAAAAAATCAGAGCTCCTCTTTAGTGGATGATCTCGGAATAAAAACTGATTTTACCGAGATATATTACGCTCTTAATTGATTTAAAAGAACTACTCAGAAAGAAAATTACAATTTTAATAAAATAAGCGCTATTGAAATTAGCACTTCTGCCCACCCTAACCCTCCCCAGTAGGCAGGCGGCTTCCACGTAGTTGAGAGGTTCGGGGTAGTAAGCACCGGCCCTGTCGATGATTATAGTTGATGATTGAAAATATAACTTAGGTAGAAACAAAGTACAAAAAGCAAAAAAAAAAAAAAAAAAACGCTGCTGCAAGTAGACCTTTTGGTGCTCCAACCTCGTCGGGGGTTCTTGCGTAGTACGCAATCCTGCAGATACACGATGCATATTATTAGTTGATAAATGACAATGAAAAAAAATTAAAAATGGCGGATGGAATAAAACAGTACTGAAAAAAAATGGCAGAGGCCACAACGGGACCCCCAAAAATGCCCCTTCCCCCAGGTCGAGGGTTTCCGGGGTAAGACGCGCCGGCCCTGATGAAAATGTGTACGTATGAAAACGTGTATGTGTATGAAAAAAGAATGCATTTATGTGAAAAAGGATGATTATTTTGCATTTACATCATTTTACTGTTGAAATGGCTAGATGTAACTGCAAGTTCTATGCTAACAATTTCTTCTCTTGCACTTGTGTAACTTTCTCCCGGCTTCTTGCTTTCCACTCAACTTAGAGCTTCAAATATTTAAATGCAATATCAATAGTTATTTTCTGGGGGGGGGGGGGGTCATTCCTGTTATTTTATTGTTTTTTTTGTTTTTTAATATATATTTTTATTTTTCTCATATTCTTTGGCACTCATTAACCTTTTGTGTCTTAGTGGCGTTATTACCTTGCTTGGCGTGAAATGATTCAAAAATAAGTGTATATGATCATGTGCGTGTCTGCGTATGTTCGCGAATTACGTCAATCTGTACCGTTGTGTGCATCTACTTATGTTCACATATGGATATTTACTAACCTTAGCTTAGCATGGCGCATGGCCTTAATAGTAGAGCATCCTGTGAAAAATGTACTCTCTGCACTAGCGAATTGTTCTTTGAGGAGCTACGGTAGGCGGCTTCCACTTTTGTTTATATGAGAGAGAGAGAAAGAGAGAGAGAGAGAGAGAGAGAGAAAGGAGATAGACTGAGAGAGATAGGGAGACAGAGAGAGTACGAGAAAGAAACAGTCATATAGAGATGCATAGAGAAAAAAAAAGGGAGAAAAAGGGTCATAGTGAAAAAGAGAGTGAAAAAGAGAGAAGAAAATAGAGAAAGAGACAGAGGGGCATAGAGAGTAAGAAGGAGTAAGGGAATGAGATACGCATATACAATTAATAAGGAAAAGAGAGGGCAAAATAGAGAAAGAGACAGACAGGAATGCATATAGAGATAGAGAAAAAGAAAGAGAAAAAGCGACTGAAAGAGAAGCATAGTAAGAAAAAGAGAGCAAAGGCAATAAAGGAACAGAGATGCATAGAGAGAAAGAGAGAGAAGAAAAAGGACAGACAATGCCATGCGATAAAAAGAAAGAGCAAAGTAAGAAAAGGCGAGAGATATAGATGCATAAAAAAGTAAGAAAGTGAGAGAAATAAACAGATATATATATGTATATATGGAGAAAGAGAAAGCAAAGGAGAGGGGAAAAAGAAAGAAAGAGCTGTACAAAGAGAGAAAACAAAAGAGACAGACAGACAGAAAGCGATATGAAATCGAATGAGTAAGAGTGTGAAAGAAACAGACAGAGATGCATAGACAGAAAAAAGAAAAAGACAGAGAGCCATAGGGAGAAAGTGAGAGCAAAGGTGAGAAAGAAGGAAAGTGAGAGAGAGAAAAAAAAACATAGGCAGAGAGGTATAGGGAGAAATGGACAGCAAGGTAGAGAAAGAAACTGAAAAAATTGCGTCGAGAGAAAGAGAAAGTGAAAAAAAATCAAACTGAGATGCATAAAGAGGAAAAGAGGCAGACAGAGAAGAATAGGGAGAAAGGGAGAGAGATAGAGTAAAATAGAGATAGGTGATAAGCAACCGCATTTTATGTGCGTGAGAAAACGTTTAAGTTTGTATGAACTTGCACTTTCTTTTATGCAAGACAGATCTTGAAAGACCAAGAAAGGCAAACAGTCGGCAGATACTTATGAACTTGGGTCGTGTGGTTCTTTCAAACACCCTAAATGACATCGCTAGAAGTAAGGGTGTTGAAGATATAGACCTACCCTACTTTATCAACCGCAATCGACATCACAGAGTCATTTTAAACTCCCTGATCGTTTCTGTGGCTGTATAGTACGCACTTCGCTTAGGGTTTGGAATTTAGACTTCTTCTTCTACTAGACTGATTGAAAACCACGGCTAGTCTACATTGCAACCGTAGCTGAAACCGTGGAGAAGAAATGGGTGTATACTTTCCCCAAGGGTATTTGTGAGAAAGACAATGTAACGAACTCAACCAAAATTCGAATATGGATCGTCGATTTCTCATTCGTGCAGCTTACAATTACATTACACAAATATCCTAATGGATATTCCTAAACAAAAAGATTTAAATAATTTTCTTTTTGTCCTGCTTATAGGAATAAACCCTATTTACTGGCATTTATCAATCTAAGGACAAAATATTAAAACCGTTCCGAAAAATGATATGCGAGTAAGGAATATCTAATGAACAAGCATAAAATGAATGTTTCTATAATGAAAAACAAAAGGAAATGGCGCGAATTTCTCTGAAAAAAAAGAGTTTGATAAAACTATATAAATAAAGCTCAGTGTACGTATGTCCGTCCGTCCGTCCGTTCGTTTATCGGTCTCCACGAATCATAAACAACCTGGTGTAACAAGTTGTAACTACTATAGTTACACGAGATTAAAAATTAAATAAATAACTCGTTTAAAGTTAAATTTAAATATCAAACAGAGTGAAAGGTTGAAAAAAAAAACAATTCTTTATTAATAGTTTAACTTTAATTTCGCTTTTTCGTCGCAAGTGCAATTGATATCGTCTAATTAAACCGTAAGTAAAACTTAAGTGGGACACAATAAGTTGTTCAAATGTTTGTTGGTTTTTTTCCTAGCACGTGTACTGTGATGTGTTCAAAATATTGCATAATTCGGGTTCTCTAATATCTTTTAAGAGTGTCTTTATGTGAAGGGATCATAAAGAATGGTGATTTTAAAAGAAAATAAAAATTGAGCGCAAAATAAATGTAAACAAACTACGGAGATCAGTTGCGTATACGAAGAAAGATTATGGCGAATTAAGGTGACAAATAAAGATAAAATGATTTGATTATTTCTAAATTCTTATAACTTTTACGTACATAGGACGCTGAAGGTAAAAGGCCGAAGGGCCAAAGATCATCTACGGAAGCTAGCCTAAAGTTAACATTCGACAAAAATCACGAGAATAGATAAAGTCCAAGCATGAAAAGAAATTGTTGTTAAAAAAAATGGAACCAGCATATGTTTCCTAAGTAAGCAAGTTTACCCTAAAGACGATCAAATCACAATTAATGATCTACAAGTCAAGTTTACTGATATTTGCGCCACAATGAAGTGCCCTACTGAACCAAAGCAGTTTGGTCGGAAACAAACTCAGTGATACTTGTCAGTTATTCGTAAGAAACAGCTGCAAAACGTACAAATTAATAATTAGCTAGAATAAACATTGATCAGTGTGTGTGTGTGTGTGTGTGTGTGTGTGTGTGTGTGAAATAATCTGTTAGTAAACAAAAAGCTCGAAAAGATTGAACGTATCATTCATGGAATTTGGGGGGGGGTACTTAAAATTTGTATGAGAATAATGTAGCATGGATTTCTCACCAAAAGAATGAGTCTGCATATGAATGCAAGAAAGAGGGAGCGAGAGATATAACGTGTTTCGGTGTGAAGCAAGGATGCTTATTATAGATGTATTCCAGAATGGAATAGATAGATAGATAGATAGATAGATAGATAGATAGATAGATAGATAGATATTAACAAACTGGTAGATATATAAAGAAACTAAGAATTATATAGAAATATTAACATAGATAGATAGATAGATAGATAGAAAGAAAGAAAGAAAGAAAGAAAGAAAGAAAGAAAGAAAGAAAGAAAGAAAGAAAAAACAGTCTAGCATAGACAGACAAAGAATAATAAAGTTAAGCAAGTAAATAATTGAGATGCAAATGGCGACTGTGTCACATTTCTTGACCTAAACCTGTCCATGCTAGTGATCCGTAACGCGTCTTGTTTTTTCATTCTTGACTGCCCTTTCTCTCCATATCGCTTTTTCTCCTTCTTTCTACTTGTTTCTTTTTGGTTAATCTACTCAGCCTCACCCCCTCTCTCTCTCTCTCCCTCTCTACCTCTCTCTCTCTCTCTCTTTCTCTCATTCTCTCTTTCTCTCTCTCTCTTTTCCTTCTCTCAAGACAACAAATCCCGCAGTTTCGTAGGAAGTTTTACTGACGGGGAAGAAGAGACGTCACGCAGTGGGCCAATGACGTCATCGCCACTTCTGCAAAAGCGATGAACCTTTTTTTTTTCTTTTTCTTTTTCTTTTTTTTTCTTTTCTTTGTTCTTTATATTTTTGATACGGCAAACGGAGAAAGAGACGCTCTCTTACAAACAAGACGATGCAGGCTGCGAAAAACAAACAAGACATTTACCCATCTAAGAAGAAAAAAAAAGACAGAAAGAAAATCTTATATTACACAAATCTACAGACATTCAACTATATTCACTGAAAAGCAGAGACTCGGCTGGTCGGACGGATATGCGTACTCACATGTGCTTCTATATTTGCAGACACAAAGAAAGGAAACACGATAACGAAAGACGCATACAGATGGACTCACACAACACACACACAACGCACACATACAAACACACACGTAAGCGCATGCGCACATGCTCAAGCGGAAATAAAAATAAGCCCAATGGCTAAGAGAGTTACATACTCATGACCAGAGCTCAAGGTCGATATTCCTGAGCAGATAAAGCAAGTTCATGAATGCTAATTTTTTTAGCTAAATAGGCCGTGACGTATCATAATCTTTCTACATCTTGTTCGTTTTTTATCTATTCATGTATTGTCGTATCATACTAAGCTTAAGAAACACACACTTACACACATGTACTTCTTTGTTCGCTACAATCTACACCATTTCATGTCTGCGATCAACTGTTACGTATCCTATGTACTGCGCTCATCCTAAGAGATACCAAAGTAGCTTCTGCACTCAGCGTAACACAAAACATCAGACGAGTCATGTGCATCAGATGTTTGGCCTGGAAGGTTCCCTCATATCCAACAGGTGCAGAATCGAACCTCAAAGAAGTCAGTGACTGCCCCCGCCATGTAAACAGGTGGTCGGCCTACTTAACTTACGATGTGTATACGTGAGCAACAGGATCGCAAGAAGTTATATAAGCAGCTTACCTTCGAGGGGGAAGACAAAGATTCGCTCACATTCTCGCGAGAAGATCCACGCTTGAAGAAAGTCCCGAAAGCCTCACACCCTCAAGCCGATCTTAACTTAGTCCAGAAATCATAATTTTACATATGAAAGACTTATTCTTGTATTCCTATTATTCTTTACAACGATCATGTGTTTTTTTGTTTTGTTTTTTTTTTTATCATTTCACCCCAAGCAAGGTAATAAAGCCACTAGGAGGCAATGGGTTACTAAGTGTTAAAGAATATGAGAAAGACTATTTAGGAGAGAGGACAATAACGGTTGACATTGCATTTACATTTTTGAAGATTAAAGTTGACCGGGAAGCAAGAAGAAGGAAGAGTGTTCCGCAAGCGAGAAGTGCGAGAAAAGAAACTTTGAGCATAGAACTTACGGTTGCATCTAGCCATTTCAATGGCCGCCAATCTTGTACGCCAATCTTGTACTGTGCTTATATTCATAATGTCCAAGTACCATAGCGGTAATTTCATCAGAACAATTTCTATGAAAGTATTTATAGAAAAAGTACACGGAAAGTACGTTAGGGTGGTGGGAAGATGCCAGGTCAGAACCAGTAGCATTGCAGATTCTTTCGCTTTTATCAAGAATCTCTAAATATATAGCAGGAGCCCCAGATCAGATATGACAGTAATTATTGTAAAGCGATGGTTATCAATCCAGTTTAAGCTTAGATTGCTATGGTTATTAATGCTTTTTATTTTTTCTTAGTTCAATTGATTAGCGGTATACTCAATAAAGATCGAATTTAGTCATACTAGCAATGGACTGAAAGACTGCCTCGAAAAATCAGTATTCGAAATCCCAGTTTTTGACTTAAACCCCGAGTGGTGCAGCCGGTAAGAACCTTAGAACGACCCCGCGAAGAAATAGTCCCACATTCATTTATTCTCATTTGTTTCTAAATGCTTTTTGACGTATATTCGAAAATACAATGACTTCGTGCTAGCACAGCCATTAACGGTCCCAAGGGTTCCGTTTACCCAGGTTTCGCTCATAAGGCTACGGTCACTTTCCAAAGGTGCCGCACGCTGGGAACACCTCCTCCAGACCGATAACATCAAGAAGACCCCTTCCAGACAAATCGGCCATGGTTTATATACAATTATTTCATATATAAATTCTATGTATGAGACTCATGGTGGTGTATCTCTATCTATAAAAGGCAGGATGTGTGTGTGTGTGTGTGTGTGTGTGTGTGTGTGTGTGTGTGTGTGTGTGTGTGTGTGTGTGTGTGTGTGTGTAACGAATGCACGGCCGCAATTTTCGACGGTTTTGCACCAAAATTTACATGCACATGCTCCAAGTTAGCGGGAAGCCCAAGACCGACTTTGCATTTCCCAACTCCCATCGATAGTGGAAATAATCGATTTTTCATGCTTCTACGGCAGTTTTCATGCAGTTTGCGGCCATTTTCTACTGACCAGAGTGAGAGCCTATAGCCGGCTGCCACGAATAGGCAGGAAGATTCTATTGGCCAGCGTGAGAGCCAACAGCTGACTGACACGAATGTTAACTAGCATGCTAGCATGCAAAAAAAATCGATAGCTGCATTCGTCACAAGTGTGAAAAATTTAAATCTGCATGGCACTTTACTCCAATTGGCTCATTCGCTTGCTTAAACTCAACGTTGATTCTGATTCCTCAGAACTGGGTTGGGTGTGAAAAAGTATTTGTTGTTAACATTCTTTTTTCATTCGGTTTTTCCAGTTACGAGTCTTTTTTTTAAAGCTGATCGTTTTGTTTTCATTTTGTTTATTTCTTTTTTCGTACCAGATTTAACGTTTAGTATAGAGTTTAGAAAAAATTCGCAGTGTGAGATAGGCAAGAAGTAAGGCATGTAGCAACATCAGCACGGCAAAGGGCACTCCTTTAAAGGCAAGGAAGGGCAAAAATATTTTTAGTCAAGTGATAGCGATTGCTGCATGATTTTTTGAATCAAGCTCGGGCAACGCCGGGCCATGCTGCTAGTTAAATGATAAAAATGAAACAACCGTCAATGCATTGGTTGTCCATCGTAATAAGCGTGATCATAACTGCGACGTAAAGAATGCAGTTCTTTTGTCTTTTGTTTTTTTTAAACCATTTCACTCCTAGCAAGGCAATAACGTCACTCAGGCGTACGGGATTACTGAGTGTTAAAGAATATAAGAAAAACTAATATTACGGAGAGAGAGAAAGAGAGAGAGAGAGAGAGCGCAATAAGAGTTAAAAGAGAAAGTCATTTATTAAAATAAAATAAAAATGTATAGAAAGTGCCCTTATGTCCGACTCTTCCATAGCAAATTTATGTGCCAGGTCATACACCATAGGCTTTTCTTAAACTACTTCTGCTACAATGCAGGATACTTTTAAAAAATAAAAACAAGACTGAAAAAACCAAAAAATGAAAGCGCTAGAGAGCTGAATGAGGTTAGCTAGATTGTACATCTAAACAACAACAATTTAAAATTTCAAGTTAAAGTTAGCGTTTCCCACGATCTATAATTGTTATTTTGTTTTCTACGCCTACATCTGAATGCGTCCATCATTAAAAACATTATTAGTCTGAAGAAATCCTTCAAAAGGACGAAACGCGACACACACGCACAATATATATATATATATATATATATATATATATATATATGAAGAAATATAGTTTTATGGGATAAAGTGCTCAATATCAGAGATAGTGCGTATGTAAATATAAATATAAAAGTGAAATTGAAGTCAACACACAGAGGCGACAAAGCTGTTTCATGCTGGACGCTATCGTCAGGCCGCCTGACGATTGCGTCCAGCATGAAATAGCCTGTCGCCTCTGTGTGTTGACTTTAATGTTCACTATATATATATATATATATATATATATATATATATATATATATATATATATATATATAAAGGTATTATGTACATTATTTACATTATTCGGACTATTGTCCTCATCTTTTTCGCCATATCTATCACAACGTTTCGGCCGTTGTACAGGACCCAAAGAGTGTGAGTTCAATACCCGGTTAAGGCAGTGGAGAACTTTCAGAGGAAATTAACAAGAGATAACTGATAACTGACATCCATCAAACATGGCACATGAAACTAGAACAGTCTACCCCAGTGAGCGAAATAAAGGGTTCGGTTCGACATTCCAACAACCTGAAGAAGGCCGGAGTGTACAATGACCGAAACGTTGTGATAGATATGGCGAAAAGATGAGGACAATAGTCCGAATAATGTAAATAAATATATATATATATATATATATATATATATATATATATATATATATATATATATAAACTTCTCCAGACAATAATTCAGAATTTCAACTTTTATTTCATGGTATTTACATTTAGATGTCTCAAACAACTTAGGACGTATCACCTTTTGTTTGAACCCACCCACTTTTAAGTGAGCAAAACTAATGGAAAACGTGACTGACAGGTATTTCTTGTCTTTTAGATTGATTGTTGAAACATTAAATAGCCCTAAATGACTACTCTTGGTTTTAGCCTCGGGGTTTTTCTGTAAAGATTGCATTAATGTTAAAACGGATAAAACAACTTGAAGATGAGCGAGTTGTCTATGAGAGAAAATCAAGCCATTTTGACCGTCCTTGTTATGACGATAAACTACATCCGCGTCCTGGGTAAGACGATAAACGCCGTCCAACAGTAAGGCC